ATATGATAAAACCCCTTAATGTACCATGAGAGAATAAGAATGATTAACTTTTTTGTGTTAAAGATAACAGCTTTTAATTAAGACAGGCAAATGATTTGTGTTAATATCCCTTATGATGGTTGTGTAATCTCATATATAGGCGCGTATGCCGTATAAGCAAAATCGCTATTTTTCAAATTGCTGGTGCTCACTCAAATATGCACGAATCTTCAAAAAATTGCACGTGGATATTTTGTATGTCAATATGCAACACCAAAATTTTGAACAGCATTGTAGAACAAAGTTGGGGCAACTGTCACACCCTAATGTGCGTGGGTGTCACGCGTATGCAGTACGTGCCTCAGTGAGTCCCTTTTCCATATGTATCACCAGTGCGCTGCTCCTCACTGCCTACACTCATTTACATGAACTTTTTGTGTTGAGATAGCTTCTCCTACCCCATCAATGTCTCATGCCTCTACACCTTCTAAGAAGAAGCTGTCCTTGCAGGTGAAGTTTGAGATGTTGGTAGAGTATGAACGAGGAATCAACAGCAGGACCCTCTTTGAAAAGTATGGGATCAAGGGGTCAACCTTTTATGATATTGTTCTTGCCAAGGATAAACTCAGGGCCCTGGCAAAGAAGCAAAGAAGACTGACACAGGAGGGTCTGAGGCAAAGGTGTTTCGTATGAAAAAGTAGCCGTTTGTGGGTCTAGATGATGCAGTGTACACATAGTATACACACAATAACGTACTGAAGATGTACCAGTGCGGGGTATAGACGTTCAAGCCACCGCAGAGCTTCTTGCTGGACATCTTGGCCATCAGAATTTTACGGACAGCTCTGGACGGTTGTTCAGATTTAGGAACAGGCACAATATTGTGATAAGGCCATTACTGGTGAGCTTCTCAGTGTTGATCGTGAGGCTGTGGACCCCTTTGTGAATAGGCTTGATAAAATTATCTCAGACAACAAACAGAAGAAGAGGCAGTCAGAGATCAGTGATTTTTTCAAACCAGTAGTTCCAGCGCAGCACTCCTAAGATACTCCTCCTGCACACACTCCAACTCCTCGTACCTCTGAGAGTGAGGTAGAGTGAAGTGTCCCTGCCCTCTGTCGCTTCATATTGTGACCCCCGAGTTGCCTGACATCATATTCTAGGATGATGAATGGTGGCGAAGAAAGATATTGCACAATACAGTACAGTAATATAAGTTTATAGTTAACATTGTACAATACAGTACAATAATATAAAGTTTGCACAGTTAACATTGTACAATACAGTACGTACAGTAATATTAAATTTGTACAGTTAACATTAAGTATAATAAGCTAAGTGAAAAAGAACCATGTACAGTACAGTCGGCCCTTTACATACTCGGGTTTAGCATACACGGATTCGCAAATACGCGGATTGCCCTGCCGGAGGAATATTCTGTACATTGAAGTACATTCAAATCGCGCGCGGCACCCGCCCGCCACCCCCCCCCCACACACGCGTCACGCCACCCCGCGCTCCCTCACTCAGTCAGTCTCGCTGTATCCACACTTGTGTTGACATCAGCATTAAAGGTCAACCCTGATTTTTTGACCCAAAAATCGTTAATTTATGATATTCCTTGTTTATTGGTCAACCCAAATTTTTGAGGGTATTGGAACAACAAAACCTTCAGTAAAAACACTACGTCCTATAAACTGAGGCTCACCGTGCCTGAAACACCGAGTGCCGAGGGCAAATTGTTTACCATTTATTATTACAACACTTTACACTGAAACGCGGGTAGTTTCAACAAAAATATTATATATTTCCATTCAAGTATTCATTCAAGTCAATTAGGAGGGAATATTATTGTAATACAAATTTTTTTTAACTGAAAACCATTTGAAAAGCGATTACGGTAACATCTTTTGAACGAAAGAAAGCAAAAGTCATTGCTTTCGTCACGATTTTATCCCACTTTCCAGCAAAAATATTACATTTCCGTGAATGTATTATATCAAGCACAGTATGAATAGAATATCACTAATATAACAGTATTTTAACCGAAAACTATTAAAAAAACGAGTAACATATCTTGAACATCGGAAGGTTAGGCAAAGTCTTTTGTTTTCATGTAGTTTATCCTAATTTAGATTGAAATACATAACGTTTCAGCAAAACTACTATTTATTTCTGAGAATATGGAAATGTAATATTTTTGCTGAAATGACATACGTATTACAGTGGAAAGTGGGATAAAATCGTGACGAAAGCAATGACTTTCGCTTTCTTTCGTTCAAAAGATGTTACCGTAATCGCTTTTCAAATGGTTTTCAGTTAAAAAAAATTTGTATTACAATAATATTCCCTCCTAATTCACTTGTGATGCAACAGTTTTTTAACTGAAAACGATTCAAAAAACACGTGTACCTTCTAGCTGATACGGCAGAGCCTTGGTCGCGGAGGCTTTGTTTTTGCATCGGCCCTTCTTAAGCAGCCTTTAATTTTTGTGTATGTTGAAATTGTGTTTACCAGTATATTTTTATTTTCTTGCTTCTTATTTTCCAGAAATATGACAAGTTTGTATATAATACAATGTTACGGTACTTTTAATTTACAAGTGTTCATTTTTAAAAATACAGAAGACATCAAACAAATACCAGTACAGATATTTGTGTGACTCTCCCGCCAAAATAGACCAAACAGCTGGTACTCTCTCCCTCAGCCCTACCAAAAATAGCCCAATGACATCTTTCTTATTTATTCTCTTCTAATTTCTCACTTTAACTGGTATTTTTTACTTCACATTGCCTACATCAGATAAACTACAATAATTGAGGTTAGACACTTATAAATTTGATTACCAGGTACTGGCAGGATGCTGTTAGAACCACCTAACCCTACCAACAGTGTTGCAAGTCAGACACAGCATTTTTTTATTTTTACATTTTTGGTGGCTCCATTTGTTATTTTTTTTCTGTGGGGTTTGCACAATAGTAAACTGTTTTACCTACAGTATTGTAAAACGATTTGGGAAAAGAAATACTCGGTAACTTAAAATTTTAAAAGGAAAATCTTGAAACTGGCAACTGTGTGCTGAAGACGATGACAAGGAAAATTATTTTGATGGATTTTCATGAAAATATTCAGAAATATGGTATCGTAGTATTTATTCAAGTGAATTAGGATAGAATATTATTGTAATACAACAGTTTTTTAACTGAAAACCATTCGAAAAGCGATCACGGTAAAATCTTTTGAACGAAAGAAAGCAAGTCATTGTTTTCGTCATGATTTTATCCCACTTTCCACTGTAATACGTACGTCATTTCAGCAAAAATATTACATTTTCATATTTATTTCTGAGAATATATTCATTCAGTCACAGTTAAGGTAAAATATACTTGTGATGTAATATTTTAATGAAAATACCCGGTATTTAGAAATACGGTATCGTAGTTTTCTTTTGTTTCAAATTTAATTAACAAAGATTGATGTTTCAAATGTAATGAACAAAAATTTATGTACAGTATCTATAAATAAATTAAAAAAAATGAATACTGTATGTTTTACATCATCCTGTGCATACCATACCATGCATTTGGTTACTTTGGGCTTGTTATGATGACGCAAGAGATCTGCCCTGGCAACTGTACTGACACTCACAGCTGGTGGTGCATTGGTGCGTCGTTTCCATTGTTTACTGGTAGTTACTGGTAAATATTTTCCAACCTAACGAAACTATTACCCGTTTAGAGGTCGACCCCCAATTTTTTGCCAAATAATTTGGTCTTAAAAACTCGAACTACACACAGGTATATACGGTAAATAAGGACAAGGGGGGCCAGGGGTTTTTTAGGGAGGAGGGGCAGCAAAAGTAATGTATCATGTGTCTGAGGTGTCTCCGTAGGTGTGAGTGTATTTACGGAATTAATCTCGATTAGGCGAACTAGTTCACTAAATCGAGCGTAAAATAACAAAAAAAATACCTTCAGCTAAATTGAGAATTTGTTACTGTATATCAGATTCCATTAAATCAAGAGTATACTGTACTACAAAGAAATTACTCTAAAATATAGGTAAAATTCCACAAGAAATCCTTGATACCTTAGATTTTGCAAAATTGTTGGTTAGCATAAAATTCAGCCTAAAGGTCTGATTATCCTAAAATGGGTGTTTTTTGACAGCACTTTGGGTAAGGGATACCAAACTTGTATTATTATTACAAACATCAAGTTACTACCTGTACTGTACTATAGCAGTACAAGGATAGATTATTGAAATATTTCTGTACTGTACGTTCATCCCTACAACAGTGTATTTGAGGCCCCCCAGACGAAACCCATTTTTTTGTTGGAAAGCACTATTTTCGGCCTAGTTCTATACGATGATAGTTGATAAGCTCTCCTTACTACACTGTAAATAAGGTTGAAAGCCCTTTGAAAATAGGGTAGAAGATCAATTTGTGGCAGACAGGAAAGTATGGGCTTGACTTTCGCGTCGTCAGGTGCTCTCGTCCTGTCAGTGAGTGAGTGAGTGAGTGAGTGAGAGGAGCGAGCGGCCAATCAGGGGCCGGCCTGCTGCCTCTTCCCCCGCCTCGGTCAATGACAGTGAGCGTCTGTTATCTACGTCACGGCCCCTCCAGCTAATGAGGCGGAATCCCTCTCTCCCTCAGTTCTCCTTTGTTGTGGTGGGATCTATACTCTGATATCGATTAGTCAAAAAAGCCATAAGCGGGTGGGAGTTTTGTTGCTTCAAGTCAACATTGCAAAAACCCAGTACATTACTTCGTGAAGCGCTACCTACCATCTGCAAGTACAGTTCTTTAGCTCCAAAATGCATCAAAAATGAATGCTGTATCTCAAATAACAACAAATAACCCATATAATGTAGGAGCGCCTCATACATACTGTTGAGCTTCTATGCCCCCCAAGTCTGAATTACCTTATACAAATAATATTTCTCAAGCCTCCTCAACTATCTTCCCAATAAAATCACAAACTGAGATAACTGTGCATTTAAGTAAAACTTTTACATACCTGTTCCACAACTGCTCCATTCCAGGTAAAACTCTTTGCTGTTGCTGCTGCTGTTGTTGCTGCTGCTGCATCACAGCATTAGGTTTACCCACTGGATTAATTTGTGAAACCTGAGGGCCCATGTTACCCATTTGTGGAATAGCATTGGTGGGCATCTGTGGGCGGACCTGCTGCTGTGGGGCAATGGGAGGGGGCATCATGGGTGCTTGACCAACTGCAGCATTACCAGGATTACCCTTCCCATAGCTCACAGCAGTAGCAGGCCCAGTTTGTCTTGCAGCTTCCTCCTGAACCTGTCACAAGTGAAAACACAAATCAGGTGATATACTTTCAACAAACAATAAAAAGAAAGCTACCAAATTTGGGTTTAAACATCAAAATTAACTTCTCATTCAAGATAAAATTTAATAAGTCTTGAAAAGTATCTTTTTCAATGTTTCCAATATATATATATATATATATATATATATATATATATATATATATATATATATATATATATATATATACACACACACGAGTATATATATATATATATACCTGTCACAAGTGAAAACACAAATCAGGTGATATACTTTCAACAAACAATAAAAAGAAAGCTACCAAATTTGGGTTTAAACATCAAAATTAACTTCTCATTCAAGATAAAATTTAATAAGTCTTGAAAAGTATCTTTTTCAATGTTTCCAATATATATATATATATATATATATATATATATATATATATATATATATATATATATATATATATATATATATATATATATATATATATACACACGAGTATATATATATATATATACACACACACGCACATACAGCTCCTCCCCAACTACGAACTACGACCGCCTCAGTCGTACCAAAATTTTGTCAAATTACGTATTTTTGAGTCCAAACGTCAGTGATTGCGCTGTGTACTGACAAAATTTTCGTTTGTAATTCACTTTAAAATGGCTGGCAAGCTTAAAAGTGAGAGTTTTGTGGTGCTGAGAAGAAAAAGAGACACCCATTTTAGATTTTCTATGTATTATTTAAGCATTTTCGACTTACGACCTGGATTTGGGTCCCTAACCCCGTCGTAAGTCAGGGAGGAGGAGTAGTGTGTGTGTGTGTGTGTGCAGTGGTGGGCACGGTTCCGCTAACCGCTAATTAGCGAAGCTAACTTTCTCGTTAGCAGATTAGCGTTTTTGCTAACTTTGGAAATCATTAGCGAAGCAATTAGCTTCCGCTAAATTTAAGTCCTCTAACAATATTTATACATGTTTGTTCCTGTCTGTTGTAAGCGTGTGACACCTCGACGCGTGTCTCCAACAGCCAGTCAGGCACGCTTGGCTGACTGCGTGTTAGTACGTGTAAACGTGACAAGACTTTTTTTTACAGTAAATAAAGACTCTCAGTGTATGTTGAAAGAATCATAGAATGTAATTATAAACTGATGTATAATTTATTTTCTCATTTATTTGTTAATTTAATTAGGATTTTTTTGTGTCAATATATTTGGTTATGCTAAGTACTGCATAAGTTCATAATCAGGATGTCATCCAAGGAGTGCGCCATACAAAATTTTCTAAAAACTTACTTTTCATTAAAGTTTCGAGTTTTCTGTTTATTTACATGACTACGACCAACAATAAGTTATATAAAAATGCACTGGTATAATGACTAAGACCAACAATAAGTTATATAAAAATGCACTGGTATAATGTGAATGTGGTTGGTATTGCATATTTACATGAATAATGAATAAGGTCGATAGATTGTTTGAGAATGCAAATGAATTATTTGTGAAATTGTGTACAGTGTACACCTTGATAAGTTGATCATCATCTGATCTTGGCATGATGCTATTTGCTACCTATGCTATACAGTACTATAGTTTTTGGATTCGTTTAATACTTTCTGTCTTTTCGTACAGTAAATAAAGATTATAAAGTGTATGTTGAAACTTGAATGTAAACTGTTGAATTTAATTTGTTCATTTAATTATTTGTGTACACCTTGATCATCATCTGATCTTGGCATGCTATACCTTTTTGGAAAGCTCTATGTCTAATCTACAAGACAACATATGTAAATTTCAGCTCTCTAGATCTGTTTTTAACGGTTTTAGAGCCCAAAAAACAAACAAACCGAAGCTAAATTCATATAATAAAAGTTAGCGGTTAGCTTCCGCTAATTTTTTTTAGCTGTTTAGCGTTAGCGAAGTTAATTTTTAGTTAGCAGATGAGCGGTTAGCAAAGCTAACTTTTTGTTTAGCTGTGCCCTCCACTATGTGTGTGTTTATATATATATTTTTTTTTGTGGCATGGTGCAAATTTGCTAGGGAAAGCACTGAGGCCAGGTGCATTACGGGGACCATTCCATTACTTGGAAGAAAAACTGTAAAGTGTACAGTAATTATTCTGAGTGCTCTATAGTAACTTTTTTAAAGTACAGTATAGCATACACCCTGTACACTAATGATTTGTTTACCTTGAGCTGTACATCAGAGGATTTAAGTTATGTTTCTGTTTCTCAGAGATCAATTCCCCTAACCTCTTATTTCCCATTACACCCAGCCCTTGTCAACTATGGGATAATGTAATTTTAAAACATAACCTGTGTGGTAGGCAGGTGTGGAATTACTCTATAACAGCCACTCCTGGAGTTTAGGGATTATTACTAAAGCTGAAAATGAAAAAGGTATTAATGCAATAGATTTGAAAGGATGACATAAAATATCATAAAGAATTTTGAAGTAAAATTTTATAGTGAAATCACACAACCACAAGGTGAAAATAATATTTTTTTTTAATAACAAGTGAAAAGAAATAAAACAAGGAGGTGAATCAACAGCTGTTTACATATGACATTGATATACAGTAGTAGACAATGTAGAAAAAATTACAAATATCAGAGAATAAGTGTGATAGTCGGTGTATTAACCTACACAAGGGTGAAAAGTGGCCAACAAATGGTGGTAGTGACAGAAAAGTTAAGAAAGAATATGTCCCAGTGATGACAATAAGCAGAGAAAGGAGAAATGAACATTACTTTGATATGTTTTCTTTTAAGTACAGTACTCTTGTGATGGACAAGGAGAGGTTCACAGTCGAGTGCCCTATGAAAGGCAATGTCACTGGCAAATGACCTATGTGCATCAAGTTAAGCTTATCTAGCACACCATGGATAAGAAAAATGAAAATGAAAAATTCAGCTAAGTAAGAAGAAGTGGGTGTATACCTTACATTTATAGTTATAAGCTGTAGATGATGGCATGTCGTGAGATAGCAAGGAACACCATGATCAAAGTTTTTTTAAATGGCAAATTTTCTAAATAGGGGGTGGCACAGCAGTAAGTGCTAAGATTGGGACTGAAAGTACTGGGAATAAAAGTCTGGATTTCACTGAAAGACTGTCTATATGCAGTACTGCAAAGGGTGATGAAACAAAGTCCAACATGAGGAGAATGAGATCTGGTTATTATAGAGGTAAACAGCTTCAAGATTGTATTTTGTCTTTTAGTGCCATTCCAAATTTGAGAACTGTATTCCAAGTGGGGAGAGAGTAGGATACGCTAAAGAGTATTAAGTTCTTTAGAAGATATAGACAAGTCTGAAAAGGGCTTCCTAGTTTTAGGGGATGAATTGTTTGCAATGTAAGAGATTGGTGATTCCAAGGAAAATTTATTCCAGTCAGACCTCCCTTTACAAAGTGGATACTTTCAGAAGAAGACGTGCATAAAGTGAGTCATATAGAGAAAGCGATTTTCCCATAAAAATAATGGTATAAATGGAGGATATGTTCCTTGGAACTGACTTTCAAACCTCGTATGCAACCAAAACTAACCTAACTAAATACAAGACACATAACAATGCAATAAATTAATAATGAAATACAGGAAATCCCTGAGTTATTAACACACCATGTTCCAAAATTTTTTTCCTTCATAACTCTAAATTCAATTTCTCATTGACAATGTCATAAATGGGGGGGAATAGTTATGTTCCCAAATCTGCCTGCACAAGTATTTGAATAATAATTAAGCTGAACTATTGTACATTTGCAATGAATAATACTGTACAAGTTCAACATAAAATACTGGTATCAGGAAACTTGTAATGAGAGAAACCCATACATTTTCACAGCTGTTATATGTGTGTCTGGGGGTATGTTCTTAATTTCCAACCACCATTCATTACAAATAAATAGGACATGAAATAGTGAGAAAAAAATCCTACCTGTGCAATAGCCTTCATAACATTTGGTGGTGGTGGTGCCTGTGTAGCAGGTTTGATCCCTGGCTGAGTGTTGTGAATAGGGCTCTGAACAGGTGCAGGAACTGGAGCAGCAGGCTGAGGCATAGATGTATTGGCTGCCACACCAACCATACGTGCATTCATCTGCTGCATTCTTCTCTTCATTAACTGCTGCTGTTGGAACCTTTGCTGCATCTCCTGTTGCCGTAACTTTTGCTTGATGTTAAAGCAGTATGGGACAACACATCTCTGCTCCTTGCAATTTCTTGCATGGTAACAGCAAAGGGCAATGAGTTGTTTACATATTGCACATCCACCATTATTCTTCTTTTTGCAGGACTTGGTATGAGATAACACACGCTTCATCTTCTGACATGATGGAAGTCTGCAATTTGCGTCTCTGCATTGAGAAGCATGCACCAATGATTGGATACACCGCTGTATGGATTGTCTGCGAGCCTCTTGTGGGTTGAGGTTCTTGTTCTCTGTCGAGACTGATCCATCCTCCAAATCCAACCCTAGTTTTATCATCTTATGAGAATGTCCTTCAGCCTTGAAACAAGAGGTACACAAATCAAAATCATCACATTCTTGGCAGTGATAACGTGTTTCCACATGGGCCTTGCAATGATTGCATGTGTACACAAAACGGTCTTGCCCCTGGTTATGAAGCTCATACATCATAATCATTGTGGAATACTTAGCACGGCGCAATGATGAAAACTCTAAGTGTCTTTCGCTGGCCAAGGTAAGAAAGGCATCTCTACCATCCATGAGATCACATACCATAATAGGGTCAGGGTCTTGAATAGGGGGCAAACTAACAGCAGACTGAGCACTGTGCAATCTTATTACAAAAAACACATCTTTGTGTTTCTCCATCGTTGCAAATATCTTTTGAGCAAGATCATTACAGCCTGCTGCATTGCTCTTGCTCTTCGACTTGTTCTTCTGTTGACTTTTACTTTTGTTCTTATTTTTGTGTTTCTTTTGACCTTTCTTTTTACCATCTTGACTGGTTTCCTCCTCTTCCTCTTGTCCCATTGCTGCCTGTGCTGCAGCTTCTGCTGCAGCAGCTTCCTCCTGCTTTCGTTTCTCCTCTTCCTCTTGGTCCAGTTCTTTTATGCTCTCTTCCATCACATTGGGCCAAAAGTCACCTTCAAAATAAGGTAACTCTGCAGGAGATTTCATGTTGTCTTCAAATGCTTGTTTATGGATATCCTTGTAATCTAAGACTATTCTTTCTATGATACCCTTATCAAGCATCTTCTTGTACCATTCTTGCAGGCGCTTTGGTTTAGGAATCTTCTGGTCACTAGGATGGCAGTGGAAGATGTAGTCATCTCCTTCTGATGGTGGACATGCCCAAATGTGTGCCATAGTATACCTGGAACACGAACCAAAGTTTTACATGCTGATAAATTCAAGATTATGCCCATCTACAATTGTATACCACAAATTACTTTAGAAAAATAAAATAAAATGAATTATGTACTGTATTTATATAAATATATTGTACGAGTCTGAAAGAAACTTTCTATTTCCACATTAAATGACATTTAGTGGCCTCAAGAATGGTCAGTTCCTTCTCTAGCCATTCACCAATAAGTCTGTATTTCCCACCACTGTAAATGTTTTCTGGTTCCTTTTACCAATCACTTAAAGCTTTTTATCTCTCTGGGGATCCAGCTTTTAATTTAATTCATCCATCCTAGTCTCTGCCTTCCCCTAGCCCTCCTACCCTCAACTTTACTCATTAATATTTCTGTGATTATCTTCTCATCTCTAAATTATATGACCAAAGTATCTCATTTTTTCTTTTTCTGTAGATTTTAAGCACAGTATTGTTTCCTTGAATTTTTTTGCTAACCTTAGTACTTCTTCATTTGTTTTCTTGCCAGTGTACCTTATTCTTAACATTCACCTATAATGCCACATTTCTAAAGCCTGTAACCTATAAGTTTAATGTCCTCTACCTTATCAAAAGCTTTTTCAAAATCAACAAAGCAGATATACTACAAATATCTTTGTATCTTTTAAAACCCTTTCACTCAAAATTATTTAAACCAAATATGGCTTATCTAGTTCCAATTCCCTTTCTAAATCCATTTTGATATTTAGATAACTTGCTGTCTATTCTAAAATTTATTCTACTTATAGTTATGTTTAATAAAACTTTGCAGGCATGACTTATGCTAAATATTCTTAAGTGGGTGCACTCTAAGGCTCCTTGCTTTTTAGGTAATACAAGTATCCCCGCGCGACGGAAACTCAGGTTGCAGAAATTTTTAAATAATGACCACTAAATTCGGGGTACAGCCCGAAAATTCTGCCTTATGGAAATGGGGTAAAATTTCAAAATTTTTAACACAAAAATCACAACATAGAACCAAAAATTTCACAGAAAATATAATTTATTTGGTGTGGATTTCTTGGTGTTTGCAACTACCAAGTGTGGGTATGCTGTGTATCCACGCCTCTGGACTCAAGTTTGATTAAATCTCCCAGCATGTACACTTGATTTCTCAACACTTAGATAGGCATCTTACTCAAGACTGTCCTTATTCAAGATGAGTGGAAAGAGGCTACCAAGTCCAAGTGAAAGCATTAGTGCAAAAAGAACCCATAAAGGAATTACATTGGATATAAAACTTGATATTTAACGAAGGTTTAATGTGGGAGAAAAACTTATCCAGATTGCAAAAAACATTAGGGCTTGCTACATTGCCCAAAAACTCCCATTGCACCACCTCAACTCAAGCAGCACTCAACATCATTTGTGGTGAGTTAAATTCATGTGTTTTGTGTATTTATTATCATAATATATCATAAAATAATCAATGTATGTGTTTAAAAATGTTTTTTTGTCATTAAATGTGCTTGTATTACTTCTTTTTTGCCAAAAAAGTTTCTTTAGGAACACATCTCAAATTTCATAATGGAGGTCAAAGGGAAGATGGGGTTCACGTTAAGAGTCAACTTTTCAGAGGCATCCCTTCCGTAACCCGAGGGATTACTCTAATACAAATACTGTACCGTTTTTTAAATCACTGGGAAGGTCTCCCTTAGAGTATATAGAATTAAATATTTTAGTCAGATATTTTATCATATTCTTGCCCACTGGTGATATAATACCCAAAATGAACAAAAAAAATCCACCAAGAGAAAGTCAAAGCTGCTACTGCATAAGAGCAGGGCACAATGGTATTTTGCATTTATGAATTCTATTTACTCCACATACTACTGTACTCTCAAACCAGTCACTTCTGTTACTTGTAATATGTTTCTTCCTCTTGCATCCACTATGAATGCTTCATAACTGTATGTTGGCTAAATACCCCTGTACATTCCTTTCTTTGTCTCTTTTAACAAGTATATATCTGAATTTCACATATCCAAAAAATCACAGGAAACTGAAAGGTCTGAAAAATATCTTGAAAAAAATCTGCAAAATTCACAAACAAGTACTACTCCCAGCCCAGGAGACCAGAAAGGAACAAGGCCCTGGTGCCAGTAGCCCCATCCATCCTATCCCACACCTCCTGGGACTCCTGGGACCATCTATGCTCTGGTATCAGGTGACTTCTATTAATCTCAGGTCTTTTTGCTTGTTTACTAAAAGTGCTATCTCATTTGCTTGTAACACCTCCACCCACAAAAGCCATATCTCTTGAACTATTTCTTAATTATCATTCGTCTTGACCAATGATGAGATCACTTTCTGAGGTGAGAATTGTGGAGATGCATCAACTCCTGGCACCACCACTATCATTCCACACCTAGCAGCTGCCTCTAATGGAAAAAGTGTGGTGTTGTATTGGTGAAGTACGTACTGAAATTATATATTTAATGTTGAATTACAGTACAATATACAGTAAATATTGATTTACAACGGTAAACAGAGTACTGTTATTGCATATACTGTACTGAATGGTCTGTTGTTACCTTTGGAAACTATATAGCGTACTACAGTCGTGTCGCATCTTACGCGCATTTAACTTACGTGCATTCAACTTCAAGTGTTTGGCTTATGGAAAAAAAAAAAGATGCAGTGAGAGTAGGAGTGTTTGGCTGGGGGGAGGTACTTCCACCCTCAGTTGCTGCGTGTAGTTCACTGTGTCAACAGCTCCCCCTCACTGTCTGTGACTCTAGTGTGTACATGTTTAAAGCTAACATTTTCATACAACATGGCCCCCAAATGCTAAGCAACTACTTCATCAACAAAAACAGCGATCTATTCTAATGTTGCAGGAAAAAGTGGATGTGTTAGGCTTATGGCTGCAATGAATCCAGCATTCGTTTGATAAAGATTCGAGAGAATGAAACTCGTCAAGTTATTTCACTGAATGTCCCAATGACTGTTAAAGTGACGAGCCAAGTGTGTGATAAAACTTTAGTGAAGACCGAAAATGCATTAAATTTATGGCTCGAAGATATGAACCATAAATGTGTTCCTATCGACAGAAATGTTTTGCGAGGAAAGGCTCTTAGCCTTTATATACAACTTAAACCTCCCAGTAAAGGGGAACAGGCTTCTCATGAAAAAGAATTCAAAGCTAGCCAAGGATGGCTTAACAGTTTTAAGAAATGCTTCAACCTAAAGAAAATCCAGCTCGCTGGTGAGGCATGCTTCTGCCGCGAAGGCGGCAGCAAAGGTCTTCCCTAAGGAATTAAAAGAAAGTTATAGAAGAAAATGACTATCTTCCAGAACAAGTTTTTAATGCTGACGAGACTGGATTCTCCTGGAAGATGCCCAACCGTACATATTTTTAAAAATAAAAAAGATAAGCCCATGGATTCAAAGCAGCTGCGTGTTTTGCAGAAATGCAGCTAGGCATTTAATAAAGGCAAGCCCTACTTTGCAGGGCTGCAAATCCCTGTGCCCTAAAGGGCAATAACAAAAATCTACTACCTATGTTCTGGCAATCAATGATAGTTCTATTTTCTGTTTTAAGCATTATTCAACTTTTTATGACAAAGCAATAAATACTGCATGGATTGAACTGGCCGCTGTCTCCCTAAACTGAAATAGGGGTAACCAGCCTAGTCACCAGATGCACTATTGATACACTTCACACTACTTCCACACTCATGATCACTGCCCACACAAAATGCACACACACACTTTTCATTTTTCTTATTTTATACTTTTATATTAAAATTTCTCTATTTCTAAGTCACATTAGAGTATCGAAATGAATTTTCCGCAACTTTTAAAGTTTCATTATTTGTAACAACGGCAACATGCATTACCCTCTCCCTCCCTCACACCCTAAAGCAGGGTGAGGAGTGGAAAGACATTTAAATTGCTGCTGTATGGGAACCTCTCTCTCTACTAGTCCTCCCCTTCCCCATGACCCTCCACCTACTCTTCTCTTTCCTCATCCTCCATTCTCACTCTACCCGTTTCCTCCTGCTCCCTCTCCACTCCCACTACCTCACTTCTTCCTCCTCCACCACTTTTCCTCCCTCCTCTCTACCACTCCCATATAACCTCCCCCCTCTCTCTCCTATATATCCCCTCTTTTCTCTCCATCTCAATCTCAACTCCCTCTTCCCCTGCTCTCTCCCCATTTTTCTTCCATCTCCTCCCACCACCCCCCTTTCCCACACACACACACACATGCTCTTCATTTTTTCTTATAGTTTAATATTATATTTTCTTTATTTCTAAACCCCTTTACAGTACAGGTATATTTAACCATGGGCTTATGAGAGATTTAAGGGATTTTCAAGGGCAATTTTGACAATACGTATTTTTGCCTTATGCACCCTCTTTGAAATGTAACTCCCGTTTAAGATGCGACACGACTACACAGTTGGATTAATCTACCAAATTGCAACCACACAGCAAGTAACAATAAATACAACCGCTGGTGTGAGAGCATGTTGTCAATTATATACAGGTGTGATGAACAAATTATTATTATTATAAGTTGTCAAAACTTTTAATTTTGCTTGTAATCATTACAATGTATTTTCATTCTCCTTTTAAAGGTACTGAATAAGGTTTGTCACCTTTGAATCCCATACAGACTTATACTGTAGAATACCTTAAAATTTAATCCCGTTCAAATAATCTCACAAAACCATAAATAAATTTAAGCAAAGGGAGTCTTGGTTCCAGGACTTTTGAATATGTGAATTTCTACTGTATATCTCATTTAGGCCCAGCATATGAAAAATTAAAGTATATAGTTATTGGCACAGCATTGATAAAAAATATCTTATAGCAAAGCAGAAACAATGGTATTTGGAAAAACTAAAAATCTATAAACTGCTTCTCACACCTCAAAGCAAAAAGTTAAAGAATGAGCAAACTCACCCTAACTGTTTCACATAGTCAAGATACCCCAGAAGTATTTCATGGTAGACAGCTGTTCTATATTGTCTTGGTTTGAAGAAATGTACACTGTCCAGATAAGCTAAGTACACTCTTCGAGTATTTGGTACAGGACTGTCAGACCCATACTCTTGTACATGCATACCGAAGAAGCACACATCTTGTCCATCAATATCTTCATATGCAAACAAAGCTTTGGCACGATAAGGAAACTCAGGAGCAAGTTGTTGAGTGTCCACAAATCTGGAAAAATGATAGATTACATATACAGTATTACCTCTCTATACCCAATGAATTCACTATATACCGAACCCACCACTAAACCCCTCCTCAAATATTTAAAATTTACTGTCATAATAATAATTTTATTTTACCATCTTTCAAAAGGGAAATCTTAGTTTTTGGTGCCACTGTGTTGTGCCTTTTATGCACTAGTATTCAGACCATGGAATTGATATTTTTACATTAATTTCATAAATCTGGCTTTCATATAAGGTAAAATAAATAATAATAATAAAAATATAAACTTATTTTTTACTTCTAATAAAAAATAAATAAATAAATAAAATCCAAAAAGTCTTCCCCCAGAAGATGCAATCAAATTGTTGCCACAACTGATACTTTTGCAACTTTTGGTGTAAATTATAATGAACTGAAGGGAAAAAATATTTGTTCATATATATGCTACAAATATTTTCAAACTGTATTGTAATGAGTAGTTAACATTTTTTTTAAAGAGAGTGGTAATTTTGGTTTTCTTATACCTGTAGCATACAAATCATAAAACCTATGATTATATAAACCTCAATGACTGTGTGGGTGTGTAGTGGAGATGATGTGGATGTTTCGTGGATATGTGGTGGGTGGGTGGGAGGGGGGTGTGTGTGTGTGTGAAAGGAGTTCTTCAATGATAACCTATTGCAAATTGCTTTTTTGTAAATTGGATCACATTCTTAACCTCCATTACAAAATGTGGAAAAAAATATAAAAAACTTCTCAATACATTCATTATGGCAACACATTCAAAACTTACAATTCAACAGACTTCTCTCTTACCTGGTCTTCATGCCTCCTTTGACTTCAACAATTTTATCTGTAGAAGAGACAACCCTGATGTAAACTTCACCAGCACCAGCCTCCTTTTTCTTTAGGAAGTTGTTGACCCGAGTTTCTAAGAAATTACTCAGTTTTGTAGTTGGCAGTTTCTTGGAGGTAAACTTGTTCTCTTTACGTAGTGAGTTGTTTTTTTTCTTGAGACAACCATCACAGACAAAGCCCTGTGGCCAGATGGCCTCCATGTACAGCACACATATCTGGTGCTGTTTTCGACCACATTCAAGGCACTCCACAAGAGGCTCCAAGTCCAGGGCATCATTTTTCATCTCCGTAAACTGGGATTTCTTGATCATTCTAAAAAAAAAAAAAAAAAAAATATATATATATATATATATATATACATATATAGCCTATATATACAGTATATATAAACTAACATTAATATATTTATTACATCCGTTAAAAAATTAATTGTACAGTAGGCTCTCGCCAATAACGACTTCCACAATAACGGTAAGTTACAATAGATACCCATTTTCGATAATAACGTCTGGATTCTCATGAATAATGGAGATTTCGCGGGAAGCGTCGGAGTGCATCAAAGATAGCGTTTGTTTGTCGCCATGTTGATGACGTAGTTGTCCTCTCCACCTCACTCTCACACACGCTCCGTGGAATACAGCGCTGCGCCCATGTGTGAGATTTTCACCTCTATAACCAGTGGTTGCAAGGGTCGGTGAACAATAATGCATTTGTGACTGTGGGGGCTAGGGGAGGTGGTGGAGGGAGTGATTTGCTACCTGAATTCCCGGGAACTTTTAAAGTGAATGAGAAAAAAGACCCCAAAGCTAAGAGACAAAGCCACACGAAGCAAGCCTACTCAGTCAAGGATAAAGAATAGATTGTTGAGCTCATTGAAAGTGGTGCACGGAACATTAATATTGTGAGGAATTGAACTGTCCTGAGTCTACAGTGAGAAATATTAAGAGGAACTTAGAGGAGACAAGGAAGAGTATTGTGCTGGCTAAGAAATATTTCGGTAGTGATGGAAATGCGAGGCGAGCTATGAATGATAAAAGTGATAGAAACAGATTGTTAGTGATAACAGAGCATTTTCTTGTGAAATGGTTGGCTTGTAGAATGAAAGACAGTGCAAGTGTTAGCGGCCCTCAGATACGGAACAATCATCACACCAAGCACCTCAAAAATTCCCCCAAACTAAGTGTTATATTACTCAAACTCTTTATTTTGATGATTGAATAACAATTCTTTTTATTTCTGCAAACAATAAGTGTTATGCAGGGCTTCTAAGGGGAAAAATTGGGCGAAATTCTTGGGGCGGCAGCACCAATAAACTGTTTTTACATGTATTTTAATGTGACACAAATAACGTTTTCGCTAATAACGGCGTTTTTCAGGCAACTATTAGAAGTTATTGGTGAGAGCCTACTGTATTAGGATACGATACCGCTTGTAAATTCATAATAATATATATACCAACCATGGTTTAGATTTCAGACCGTTTTGAAGCTTCTAATTGTCATGAAATACTCGGTAGGCAATCCTCTATTGGCAAGACCATGGCCCAGATTTTCTGAGAAGCTAAAGGAATTCTGTTGAATAACCACTTGCCATAAAAAATAATGAACACCAGTAACAATTGAACTGGCCACATCTGAAAACTGCATGGAGTCATCCAGGAGGAATGATGAATAATGCTGACAAGAGGTGTATTCATGCTTCACAATTGCACACCAAGTCCACAAATGTCTATTTACAACTGTGATTTCAAGCAGCTCAACCATCCTCCCAACACCCCAGATCTGGCCCTAATCAATTATTATGTTTTTAAACCTGAAGATCCACTTTCAGGATGAAGAGCCAAAGGAGATTACAGCACCTGTACAGCAGTCCCAAGACTTCTATAAGAGGGACACAATGAGTGTACTGAAATAAGGGGAGACTACATTGAAAAACAAGAGTATGATTTGCCTTTTCATCAATATCCAGTTTGAAAAATCTTTATGATCACCCATCATATCTGAAGCAAGCACATTTGAATCAATTGGGTATATATGAGCAAATGAGATTTCAAAAGAAAAATCTTAGGCCCTCCCATATGCCCCCTGTAAATTTATAAGTGTTTGGCTGTGGCAATCATGAGTGAAACCCACCTGAACACTGACTATAGAAGCAACTAGACAATAGGGAAAGCATTGAGACATCACTGGGAATGTAGAATGCAGGAAATTTTCTGGTAAGGTCATTATTATAGTGCTTTTTTTTTCTTACCTGAATGAAGATGAAATACCCCAACACTATACCCAGCCCACAAATGATGGTAGTATTCCAACTAGGAGCACACATGGCTTACATTAAAATCTGATTGGTGGACTGAATGTGTGGGGAATGACATCTGTTTGCAGTATTAATTTATATTTCAAGTCTTTGCTTAATGTTGAGGTGAAGGAAACCGAGCAATAATTTAGAGGGTTGGATTTTTCACCTTTCTTTGGGGTTGGGTGAATTGTTAGCAGCTTTCCATTTAGAGGAGAACTCTGAAGTGCAATGAGATAGCATTAAAAGTTTGAGCAGAAGAGGATTTCTTTTCTTTTAGTACAAATGGGGGAATTTCATCTGAGCCATAAGCCTTGTCAATTTTTAAAATGCATACATATCCACTATAGGAATCACTCCAAAAAAGCAACATACAGTATTTAAGAAAAGGGTTTTTCACTTGTTAACATAAATGAATGAATGTCTCTCTCTCTCTCCTAGAGAGAGAGAGAGAGAGAGAGAGATCCCATAATGGATTTTTCTTCATACCTCGAGATAGAAATGGAGGTACAAATTGGTAAATGCTGTGTACCTAGAATGGGTATTGAAATATAGTTAAGTTTCAAAACCTTTGACAATCCATTCATAATTATCTGTAGGGTTGTCTCCCATACTTGATCATACGCTTTCCTCTTCCTCCAACAATGTTCAGTACCCAGTTCCATCACTACTCATGTCAAATTATAAAGTGAATCAAAGCCTCCTCAGGTGAACTGGGAGGTTTGTAATGCTGGAGTTCACTTTCTTTAACTTTGTTGTTGATCAAAAGCATCCATCCACACTAAAGATCACTTTAAGGGTCACCCATCTGACCATAGACAAAAACTGCTTTATATAGCTCTTAAGATCTCAAAGTGAAATAGTTTCCACAACAACAGCATCTCTACATGCAACCTTTATAGATTGGTTGAGGCTAAATATCACTAATCTCAAGAAGGATTTAAGCTCTAAATAAATTAATGCTTTCACTTCACCTTGAAATATCTCTAATGTGAAAGAGTGCCCCAGAAAAAGAAACACTGTTACACAGCAAAACTAGCAATCTAAAACAACTACAGTAGATGTAAAACTACCTGTAGACTTTGTCTTATTCACAAAAAATCCTGCTCTACCAAGAATACTCATACTCACCCCTGTATCTCTTTAAGCTGTATCTCTGGATGAACTATGAACCAAACAATTACATAGGTAGATGATGGAGTATCTCCTTTCTTATGGATAACTTCAAACAGGGATCCATACAATTTCCTAAATATCCCCGAACCAATTCACTCCAAAAGAAAGGAATTATATCACATTACTACCTGGAAATTTAACCACACAATGCAGAGTGGTGTCATTCTAATTAAAAATGGATACATTCCTCCACTTAGGGATTCCAAAAACACTAAGTTTGATCAATAAATAACATGTTCAACCATTATGTCTTCCACTAAGTCCCAAAGGACTTATTGATTATTCTTTATTTGAAATCCTCTAAGTGCCTGAATCTCTCCATTAGCCCAGGGAGAATCTGTCCTAAAATTCTAGAATGAGAAAGTCTACCAAACTGGGATTAACACAGTTCCATTCTTCTTGAGAGGCAGAAGTTCTTACCACTCTACTCCCTAACCAAAAAAAAAAAAAAAAAAAAACTACCCCCTGTAGTCTAATTCTCTTATGAGAATGGGCCACAATTCTCAAGCTTTGAGATAAAGTTACAGTCTAAAACAACTCACCTCTTCAAAATCAAGAAACATTAATCTGCAACTAAGTACAGTACAGTATTGTAGAATTTATTTGCAAATAAGCACTTAGTACTGTACATTTCTAAATCTTCCAAAGCCTTACAACATTTAACACTATAAAGGTTAACAATCAGCAGTATAATTGATATAAATATCAAAATAAGCATAACACTGTAAGTTATACCAGACCATATGGTTACAAGTCTAACTGCTTGTTTCTCCAATGAGCACATTTTCTACACATATAACAAATCTATGTCCCTAAGAGGTCTGGAGCTACCTATCAAAATACAGTATTTCCTTTCTTTACTTAGTAACATCATCGTTTGGGTGTACCTAAGATTCAGCAAGTTACAGGGGGATTTCGAAGTTTACCCCCTCTTAAAAATATATTCATTAACCTACCCAACCTACCTGTGCTTGTTGACACACTCCAAGAAAGTTTTACAAATGTTGAAACCATAAAATCAACCCCTTTTGGTTATCCAGTTCATTGAGCCAGTTCATCCAGAAACAATGGACCTTGCATTTGAAGGCTAAAATAAAATCTGCATCGAGTTACATGTTTGTGAGTACTCAATTGTACTGTACTGTATTGTACTGTGCTATGGTAACAAATTATAGTGCAAAAGCCAGCCACCTTCTGGCACACCAGCATATAACTGGCTAGGGTAGTCAAAAGTAAACCTTACAAATCAATAAATGTAAGAGCAAAATTTCCTTACCTTAACAAGATCATCATCTATGGTAAACTTGGCTAATATATCTCTTAAGTGCCCTAAAAACAAGTAGCTACATCTTCTTGTCCCTTAAGGGATGGGTAAGGCAATAATACCTTATTTAAAGAGGCTACTTTGTGGACATCCTGACACACAGCAAAATGTATGGAAAATTAGGTTCAGTGAACAATGGCCTTATGGTATGTATATATATTCAAAGTGTAAGAATACAATGTTTCCAAATACTCACAGTGCTGGTTGAGATGGGTCATCTCCTAATGTTATGCTGTCTCCCTGGATGTCATTAAAACATCTATAACAGTATGTATATCTGAAAATAAAACAAAAAGTCATTTCCTGTACAGTATTTATTACAATCAAACTTTCTGTACAAGCCACCTGTTCTAAATGTTAAGCTCTATAACTTCAATGTATCGTCAAAAATTATTAATAAAATAATATAAAACAAACTACCATAATAGAAAATTTTTATTATAATGGAGAAGGTGAAACTGGTTGAGTAAGCTTAAACCTTTCATCGGCTGAAGACACCAATTGTGCCACTACACGGACCGCTAGAAGAGAGATGTCTCCCATGACCCTGAACGCTCAAACTGGCACATAAGATATTATCTTTCCATACTCATTTTCAGCCATCCCATATCATTTGAACTGTTTTCTTCTTTTATCACTTAGTCAGATAGTTTATCTTATAACTCAATAAAAAAGGAAAAAATTACATAATTTTACCTGTAAATGGCAAATGAAAAAAAAATAAATTAAAATAAAAGAAAGGAAATCTAAGCATTTTGGGTGATGCAATTTGAGTCATCATCCTATCTAACAGTGACATAAAAAAAAAAGGATATCAGGGAATGGCAGAGACTGTATAGTTTCCATGTAATAAAGAAAAATGTGATGAGTATTTGTAAAAATCACAAAAGAATGAATCTGCATTTTAACTAAGGATGGAAAACAAAGAGACAAGAGGGGAAGGAAACCTCCTTGGTTTACATGAGTAGGTCTGTTAGTTTTGACATGCAATTACTCCCCCCAGGAAGAATTATATAACATATCCAGCAACATAAAATCTATAAACATACCTATTCTGGTAGCTGAAGTATTTGGCATCACGAGGAATAGTGCAGAGCTGTTTACCATAGCAACACAGCACCTGGGGGTTGAAGGTATATTTGCGACCACAACAGTACCCCAACTGCTGCATGACCGGATCTATCTCTGCTTCAAATACTTCTGCAAGCTGTTGAGATAAAATTCATTCATAAGTAAATCAAATGGAACACCTCTAGAAAACCCATAGCACACCCGTGAAAGCAAATTGGCAAGTTGTTATTATTTATATTTAATTTTTTGGAACAATTCATCAGCTGCAATGAGACTTTGTACTGTTTTATTGATCCAATATGTGACCAGAATGTATAAGGCTTTTAACAAGGTATATTGTCTTACGATAAGGGTAGATAATACAGATGTAAGTGATAATAGGTTCAAGGCAAACTGTTAGGGGAAGGTCTCTGAACAGTGAACGTAAATATAAACCAACTATGGGGATTATAAGAGATGGTATTTATGATATTAATGTCGCCTCAACAATTCATGATGAATTTTGCAAGCTTGCATGAATTAGAAATTTTTTTGAAGGAAATATTAATGAAAATGTCTTACGGTGTACTTCCTAACAAAACTCATCTTAAATTTGAAGTTTTAAGCATTCCTTGGTATATTCCATTGACTCAACATTTCTTACTCTGCTTGGTTCTCCTTATTTCTATATGCCCTTTCATGCATCTTCTTCCATTTTTAATACAACATTCACTCTGCAAGTGCATATAATCTCTTTGAAGTGTATTTTTAAACCCTTCTTCATCATTCCCATCTCTCTCATTTTCATTATTCAGCACCTGCACCTTGGAGAAGATTACAGAAACCTAATTGTACTATCGTCAATTTTTGGCTTAAAGTGCTTAGAGTATAAAGTACATTTACTATACACCAAAACTTACCTTTGTGCAATATCTGTAGACACGTGAGGTTTTCCTATTGTAGATCCACGCATTGTCAAACATCAGCCAAACGTCATCCACGTAATCCCAGGGGTCGATGTACTGTCCCGTGTCTAACTTCCGCTTGATAGTAGATAAATCCATAGGTTTCTTAATAATATCGAAATAATCTGGTATCCCAAGAGCCTGTGGGTCAACAGGCTGACGGAAAGGAATAGATTCAGGATCCTGACGATATAATTTTTCTAACGTGGGAACCAGATGTTGCCGTAACTCGTCGGGTTTGAACAAAGGGGCCCGATCTTTGGTGGAAGCTGCAGAAACAATGGGAGCCGGCTTGGGTGGTGGTGGTGCAGGTCTTCTGGGCGTTATTCCACTAATGGCTGGTTTATCACCCTTGCTATTGATTCCTTTGTTGGCTCCATCATTAGAGTTACTAGATTCACTTGGAGTACGAGCCGCTGGACTCTTAGGCTCTTCCTTTATAAATGGTTCTTGTTTTACATTACCTTCTTCTGGGGCAGTAGTAACTTCCATAGGTTCTGCTTTAGGTTCAATTTTAATCTCTTTCCCATCTGGTTCTTCTGGTTCACTTTTAATTTCTGGAGGTTCAGTTTTTACCTGAATTTTACATGGTTTAATATCGGATTTATCATCTGTCATTTCTGCTGGAGTAGATTGATTGCCCATTGCATTATCTTTAGTATGAATGGACGTAGGTACAACTGTATTCTCACTGTTAGCATTTGTGGTTATCAAATTAGGCTGCGAAGTAGGCGGGAAGGTATTTTCACTGGTTGAGGTATTAGCCATAGAGCTTGGAGTAGAAGACTGAGAAGCCAAGCTCATAGGAATACCCAAAGTTGCTGCAACTGAAGACACAGGTATGGCTGGAGAGGTACGGTTAGACATCTGGTTCATGACAGATGTATCATTAGGAGTGCTATAAGGTGGAGGAGGAATACTGGGTCTAGGCCCAGGCATCATATCCACATGGGAAACAGTGCCTGGGAATTGACCTGAAGAATTAACGATGGTGTTGTTACTACTAGCGGTGGTGGTGGTGATAGGCCCACTAATAGGAGGACCTATTACCATCTGATTACTAGATTGGCAGATTGAAGTAGGCTGAGATACTTGGTTGTTAGCCATGGGATGATTGGTAGTGATCAGATTCCCTGATGGGTGTGTTGGTCGGGGACCTGTGGGACGGGCTACCATTCCTGCAAAAAGAAAGAAAGAAAAATTAGTGCAATATACTGTACAATATTTTCTCGATTTAAGGAACTCAATTCAAGCCACCCCTTTCCATTAAATAGAAATTTCCACTAAATCGAACTTCCGTTGTTTCCGCTCGATTTAGCAAGCTACAGTATACTCTCGATTTAATGGAACCGATATAACAAACTCTTGCTTTAGCAAGAAGCTTTTTTTTTCGGCCCAATCAAGTGATTTAGTTCGTTAACCCCTATGCCCTGGTTGACGTTCCGGAACGTTCATCTAGGGTGCCCCGGTTGACGTTCCGGAACGCGCGCCTTTTCGCGCCATTGTTTGAATGCCCAGCGCGGATTATAAGGTTCCAGAATGACTATTTGGTGGTCACACTACACGCAGGGTAGTGTGGGTGGGCTCAGTATGGTTCGTACGCACTAGCTTGTCGCCATGGAGTGGCATCCCTCATGTTGTATCAAAGTAATACAATATTGCTAAAAGTAGTGTAGTTGTATTGTTGTGTAGTATTACTGGAAAATAATGCTATGATTATGTTATAATGTATTTATTTGTGGAATTATTATTCCGATAATTATTTCTATGCCTTACTTGCTCTCCCAAACACAAAGACATCCAGACAGCCTGGCGACAGACTGCGTGTGTCGCTGAGCACTTTTTCTGAAAAACAATGCAAATAAAATAAATTCTAAATGAATTATTTATAAGAAATAAGTATTATGATCAGTAAATATATGCATTATTGGCCATCCCGGACACAAAAGCAAGCAGAAAATGGCTGCTAAGTGTGTACGTGACCACGAGCACTTGCTGTCAAACAAGCTGTCCCCTTTCCCTCGCCACTGTGGCCCCAGGGAAGTTTCTAGAGGGTCAATACACCCAGTCCTCGCTTAACGTCGTGGTTACGTTCAAATAAAATACAACATCAACAAAATCAACGTAAACGGAATCAATTTTCCCCATAAACAGATAAAATACGCTAGTTACATTCCCCAGTCTCCCTTTGCCCCATAAAGTTTATTACATACACAAATTCAATGTAATTTTTATAGAAAATATATACTAAACATCCAAAAAGATAAATAAACTAAATTAATGTTTAATTAATAAGATAATACCATCATTTTGCATTGTACTCACTGATGGGAAAAGGTGGAGCGAGTGTGTGGTGGGTAGTGGAGAGGAGGAGGGTGGTGAGTCACTGAGACCCGGCGGGGTTCCCCCTTGGCTAGCATCACTAACACTTGATGGATGCTTGGGAGCCATTTCGAAGGGTTACAGTACAGTATTTATAGCAAAAACACTAAAGCACACACGTACGCTGTGGAAGTTTAACAAAGACTGGGGAGAAAATGCTTGGGGACGCTGTGATGCTCCGCGGGAGAGACATAGCGCACCAAGATAAGAGAGGGTGGCACGCCATACAAAGTAGTCCGTGTTGGGTGACAACTTTATATAACGAATCGGTCGGGTCGTAAAACAACGTTGTCAGAATCATGGGTATCTTAAGAGTAGCAACGTTAAAACTAAACAACATTGTTTGGGACAACGTTAAGTGAGGACTGGGTGTGTATAATTTTTTTTACTTTTTTTTTTGTTTTATCATTTAAAAAGGTTGAAAATTATTTTTGGAAAAGATGATTTACCCCGCGTTGGAAGTACAACCAGCAGCACCCTAGCCCGGGATGTAGGGGTTAAATCGAGATAATTCTTCTAATACGCTCACGGAGACACCTCAGACACGTGATACAGTGAAACCTACTTCAACTTTTGGCGATTGTAGTAAATGTATAAAAATGATAAATAATGATATAAACCAATTACAGGTGCTGCTCTACTTAAGAACATTCAACTCACAAACTTTCAGATACAAACATCATCACTGAGGGGGGTTACCTGCCAGAACAGGTGTTTAATGTGGATGAGACTGGATTATTGTGAAGAAAATTCCAGATAGAACAAACATTACCTAGGAGAAGAGTGAGCCAGGTTTTAAGGCTGTATTAAAGGGTATAACTGTACTAAATATCCATAATCTTTTCATTTTTTACAATATGTTTGGTATCTACAAGAGTAAAGTTGGACTTACAAACAAGCCTCAGGAACGTAACTCATTCGTAAGTAGAGGAGCACCTGTACTGGGAAATCTGAGAAAATGGTGAGAAAATCACTCTAAACCCCTCTGCTCTGCGCCTGAGGACAAAGGTTCCTGGCGTTACGAAAGACTGCACCATGTTTAGCCGCATCCTCACATGGATGGTGCATGGGTGGAAAGACCAACCGCTTGGGTAACGCTGGATTTTTCTGCCCTGGGTCTATTTATAATTACTGTGCAAATATAAATACTTCTTTAAATGTACATGTTTACTAGCTGATCACTAGTAAACAGACCATTTCACGTCACATAGTTTTAGCTGTGTTGATTTACGAGTGTTTGTTTTAACATAATACTACAAAAAAAACAATGTTTTGTTTATTCTAGGAGATGAGCGGAGGTGCATCTGGGTAGACTCTCAGTCTTTTTAGTATTTTGTGTTTCTCTCAAGTACCAAACTGAATTATTCCATTGAAACAACACTTCGATTTAGTACGAATTCGGTTTAAAGCGACCTCTCTTGGAACGTATCTTGTGTTATATCGATGTTCTACTGTACAGTAATAAATCAATGTAACTCTGAGCTGTGCAAACAAGGTGGGAGTCAGGTGGTCAGGTGGCAAGGCAGTAGGTGAGGTGACAGGCCAAGACACATACACAGCACACACATTAACAGCACTACTAAACCATTGTCTCAAAATTGATACATGATGGCTCAATTTGGCTACATCTATACTCAGACAACTGATCAGCGAACAAATCAGGACAAATGGAGATGCATTATACACCAGTGATGTCATGAAGCTTCGCAACTGCAACCACACTGTATAAATTATCACAATCTGTACTCAAATGTTTGAACCTTTTCTATTTAAAGGATCAGTTTCAAGTGATAACTCCATTGATGTTAGTTACCCTGTCCAAATTTTGAGGGATGCTGGTGCGTTACACAGTATAATGGAAAGCGGGTCAATACTGTTCATTCAGGATGCTTATACTGGTGAACATGTCGTCCTTCAGGGTATTTTTTAGTCAGATCTGGTTAATCAGTATGTGACAGTTGCTTGGCAATGATGTTGCAGGAAAACTTGTTGTGCCCAACCCTATAGTTCGTTTAATTCCATCACTCGTAAGCCCTACTGAACAACTAGAGAAGGATTACCCTAACCTTTTTCCCAGTTGTGAGGTGACATGAAGCATGATTGTCCAGACTACAGTACATGAATTCCCTAATGTTGACGTGAGCTGTGTCAGTGATTCAGATAACTGTGGATTGGGTATTAGTAAATTGCTCAAGGTTTATGACCCTTCCAATGATAGAGAAATTCAGAATATTACCCTAACACAAGACAATCTCATAAAAGCTCAACAGGAAGATAAAGAACTTGTTCACTGTCTCAGTCTTGCTGTTGATGAAAATGAGGCACCGGGTGGACCATGTTATTTAAATAATTATCTACTCATGAAGAAGTATAGGCCCATTGATACTTCTGCAGATGACAAAAGTACCCGAGTTCACCAGTGATTCCTACTTTATGTAGGCATAATGTACTCAGTACTGCACATGATTTTCCTGGAGGTCATTTAGGTATAAATGAGACAAAATAGCTAATGAGGCATTTCTTCTGGCCTGGGATGAGAAAGGACATGTCAAATTTCTGTTGCAAATGTCAGTTGTCAGATGGTGGGTTAACCTAATAATGTTATTCCCCCTGCACCCCTGAAACCAATTCCTGTTGTTCATGAACCTTTTAGTCACATAATTATCGACTGTGCCGGGCCTCTCCCCAAGACAAAAACTGGAAGTCAATACCTTTTAACTATTATGTGTGCATCATCTTTTAACTATTATATGTGCATCAACCCAATATCCTGAAACTGCTCTTTTGAGAAACCTTTCTGCAAAGATCAATGTTAAAGATCTCATTAAGTTTTCACCAAGTACGGAATTCCTCGTAGCATTCAATCTGATCAGGGATCCAATTTCACATCCGGTCTGTTTCAACAGGTGATGAATGAGCTAAAAGTGAAACAGTATCTTGCCACAGCCTACCACCCTGAATCACAAGGTGTTTTAGAGGGGTTCCATCAAACTCTCAAGGGAATGTTTAAGAAATATTGTACAGAAGAGGATAAAGAGTGGGGTGAAGGTGTTTACTTAATGCTCTTTTGCCTTCTGCAAGAGTAAACAGGAGTCTTTGGGATATTTCCCTTTTCAATATATATTTAGACACAAAGTCAAGAGGACCACTCAAAATGTTGAAAGAAAGTTGGTTGACAGAAAGGGAAAGTATGCCACTACTTAAATACTAAATCAAGCTTGATTCCGTTAAATTAAACACCAAATGTGCCGCTTTGGGTTTGTTTTCATCTGCTCGATCTGTGTCCTGCCACCATTGTTCACTGCTACCTCTCGGTCTACATCTAGGTCAAATAATTACTGTGCTTAGAAATCATGTCCAAAGTCTCTCAGAAGTCTCAGAAAGGAAGTGGTGAGGGGGAGAAAGCCAAAAAAAGGCAGCTATCAATTAGAAAAAAGTTTTGAAATTATAGAAAAATTTGAAAACAAACACTGAACCCCCCCTAGTTTAAGGTAATCCACAAATGATGTTTCTATGTACATATCATGTCTGAGGTGTCTCTGTAGGTGTGAGCGTATTAACGGAATTAATCTTGATTTAGCGAACTAGTTCACTAAATTGAGTGAAAAATATCGGAAAAAAATCCTTCCACTAAATCGAGACTTCGATACATCGGATTCCGTTAAAACAAAAGTACACTGTACAGTATATCAAAAGAACTATGAAGAAAACTATTGTATTTGTATTTCAATGAGTGAAATTAACATTTTAACTGAAATACAATAGAAAAGTAAAACATTGCAAGATATTACATTTTGAAGTATTAAGTATTTAAAAAATAATGCATAATTTATTCAATGCCAGCCATCCTGCAATAAACAAGTAAACAAACAAGTAAATGCTGAGCAGGGACTGTCAACTAACTTACCCATGGCTGTAGCTCCTGAAGTTGTAGGGGTGAGGATCTGACCAGGGGCAACAATTGGTCCTGAGGGCACAACTCCTGGAGAGGGACCAGGAGGACCAGGAGGGCCTGGGGGTCCAGGAGCTCCATCCCGCGGAGTCGTCTGTTTCCTCTGTAGGCGTTTCTCCTCCAGCTCTTTCTGAATTTTGTAAATCTTCTCGGCCAATAGATGGTAATACTCAGGCTGAAGGAAAGGCAAATAAAGTATTTTCTTGAAAAATAAGGAAACAGTACAATTCCTTTTACTTATTAAAACAATAATTCTGAACTTATAATAGCCAATCATGAAATCTGATTCGTCCACAAATCCCCTTCCCTGATAGAACCTGTAGCTGGGCATAATAAAAAATTTCAAATTATGAAGTTCAGTGCGCTTAAACATCCCCTAATTACTCAACCTGGATGTTATAGTATGTAACCCAAACATCCCCACTTTCTACCATAATCTTGGCCTAAAATGGATGGAATTTTGTGCTACAAGTGTTCCCTGGAGATAAAAAACTTGTTTGCAGGACTAATCAGCACACACACCAGATCAAAAGTTATCGGTCTGACATATTGTTAGTGATTATGTTGTCTTGGATTTAATTCCTACTGAATTATGCCACAAAACTCAGAAAAGAGAACGGGTGTCTGAATTGCCTGGGTACAACCATTTCTGGCTTACACTCTGTCAGTTAATTTTTCATAATCCCAAGTCACCTAGCCAAGAGAGAGGTGGTACTTCCCATAAGCTCTATGATTAGTTAGAGTAAAATAATTGTCCCAGTCTTCAAGTTGAAAACACACATTAAGCTCCCAACCTTCCCTTACCATCAAGTCCTAGGATTACCTTTGATCTTAAGTTTTTGATAATTACTGCCTCATAATATTTGACCATGACAGTGCTTTAGAGACAAGATAGGAAAAATTATGTCTGATGCATCATGCACTGTACAGGTCAGTTGGAAAGGAGAAAGGTCACAACAGAAGAGACCAGGCTGCCTTATCAGTACATACCTTGTTCACACTCTCTATTCCCCTAATCCCCTCCCCCATTCTCTCCTTAATATACCATTCCTTCGGTCCCTCCCATTATTTAAGTGATCACTGTCTACCCAGGGTACATTGTACATCTTATTTTTCATCATCTGCATCATTCTTACAGGTCATAACAGCTTGGCAAGCCTCTTTTTATCCACTTCACCACTCACAATTTACACCATTTTCAATTTCCTAAAAAATCAAAACTTAACTCTTCCACACAGTAATATTTCTATTAGCCAGAATCCCTCAAATCCGGAAATCTCCGATAGCCAGAATTGACATTTTCTCAGAAAATCGTTCACAAAGCCTCGGAAAAAAATTTCCAGGGGGCACATTTTCCAGAAAATTCAGAGAAAATTTTTCCAGTGCAGTACTTGGAAAATTCCAGGGATGAGGGATTTTTTCCAGCTTTGAGAGTCATCTCGTTTCCCGGAAATCTCTCATTCCCAGAAGTGCTCTGCACCAATTGTTCCGGCTAATGGAGATATCACTACACTCCTCTGCATTCCTATCTCCTCCACTATGTCTTTTCTACGGATACACTCTTTTGGCAAGGTTTTTCTTCATGGTTCTCTTTTACTTGCCATTGCTTCTTTTTCTGTGCATTACCCCAACATTCTGAATTCATTTCTTCTCAGACAGGTTCAACAGCCTCACTTACGATTAAACCATTACAGCTAACCCCCCACTTTACTTGCACCTCCTTTGTCTTTTCTCATTCTCTCTTTTTTGTAAACTTTTCTTATATCCATTATGAGTTTTGTAAATAACAGGTAGTGGTATAATATTTTTTTTTTTCAATCCTCTTAATTAGTTTTGCATTCTTCTTGGACTTCTTAATCCGCTCAACTACTACTATGCATGATCTACAATCCAAAATTCAAATTCCAGAAAATCTCAAATCTGTACAGTATGCCCACACATTCAATTGTTTCTCCAGAATGGCTAGTGACCATTTGGATCCATGCTTTGCTCACTTAATATGCAATGTGGTTTTTCACTCTAATTCTGAATAATGGTGTAAGCAAGAAGCAACACGAAAAAATGTTTCAAGTTTTATGCTTACGAGTAGTTTAAATACTGTATATACTCGTGTATAGTTCGAGCTTTTAAGACCAAATTTTTAGGCAAAAAATTGGGGGTCGTCCTATACATGCGTAATAGTTTTGTTAGGTTGAACCCGTGCATGATGGGAAGGGCGAGGAGCAACTTTTAGCTTCAGACATGAAAAATATTTACCATTTACTGCCAGTAAACAATGGAAACGTAAAATATGTACCAATTAGTAATTGAAAAGTTGTGCAGTTCCTTCAGCAAATGAAGCTCACCAACTTACAATAGGCTAAATTACCTTACAACGTGCTTTCAGTAGTGTATGTTGAAGTTCTTAGCACAGGCTAACTTATCATATCATATACGGTATCACAGTTCTCATTGATCTACAAAAAATACCGGTAATAAAAACCTTTTCGATATTTCACACTTAACATAATACCCGGTAATCTACTTCAACCTCCCATTGTTTACAACGACACATGACGCGCCACCAGCTGTTGAGTATGAGCTAGACGGTACACGTGTTTTTTGAATCGTTTTCAGTTAAAAAACTGTTACATCACATGTATATTTTACCTTAACTGTGCCTGAATGAATATATTCTCGGAAATAAATAGTAGTTTTGCTGAAACGTGATATATTTTAATGTAAAATAGGATAAAATACATGACGAAAACAAAAGATTTTACCTAACCTTCCGATGTTCAAGAGAAGTTACTCGTTTTTAAATAGTTTTTGGTTAAAATATTGTTATATTACAATGGTATTCTATTCATACTGTGCTTGATATAATGCATTCACGGAAATGTAATATTTTTGCTGAAATGATGTACGTATTACAGTGGAAAGTGGGATAAAATCGTGACGAAAACAATGACTTGCTTTCTTTCGTTCAAAAGATGTTACCGTAATCGCTTTTCGAATGGTTTTCAGTTTAAAAACTGTTGTATTACGATAATATTCTATCCTAATTGACTTGAATAAATACTACGATACCATATTTCTGAATATTTTCATTAAAATCCATCAAAATCATTTTCCTTGTCATCGTCTGCAGTGCCAAACAGCTTCTCCCAGTCCTCTCCTTGAACAGGACTAAAGGGTAAGTGTTTTTCGAATCGTTTTCAGTTAAAAAACTATTACATCACACGTATATTTTACCTAAACTGCGCCTGAATGAATATATTCTCGGAAATAAATAGTAGTTTGCTGAAACGTGATGTATTTCAATGTAAAATAGGATAAAATACATGACGAAAACAAAAGACTTTACCTAAGCTTCTGTTCTTGAGATGTTACTCGTTTTTTTAATAGTTTTCGGTTAAAATTCTGTTATATTACAATGATATTCTATTCATACTGTGCTTGATAGAATACATTCACGGAAATGTAATATTTTTGCTGAAATTACATACGTATTACAGTGGAAAGTGGGATAAAATCGTGACGAAAACAATGACTTTCGCTTTCTTTCATTCAAAAGATGTTACCATAATCGCTTTTCGAATGGTTTAGTTAAAAAACTGTTGTATTACAATTATATTCCCTCCTAATTGACTTGAATAAATACTTGAATGGAATTATACAATATTTTTGTTGAAACTACCCGCGTTTCAGTGTAAAGTGTCGTACGTAATAATAAATGGTAAACAATTTGCTTTCGGCACTCGTGTTTCAGGCACGACGAGCCTCAGTTTATAGGACGTAGAGAGTTTTTAGTGAAAGTTTTGTTGTTCCATTACCCTCAAAAACGTGGGTCGAACTATAAACGAGGAATATCGTAAATTAACAATTTCTTGGTCAAAAAATCAGGGTCGACCTATAAACGAGGGGGGGGTTATAGACGAGTATATATGGTATGTCATTATCAAGCACAGAACCATTCATTGAACATATCAAATAAAAACCAGTGACATGATACATCCCTGATACACTCCTCCCACACCACTGAATATTTGCCCAAGATCTGCTCCCATTACAAAAATTTTTGAGAGCCTTCAATAAACATCAACTTATCACATACAAGGTCAGCATTTTCCACGTGGCTTCTTGCTTATCTTTTCACATGGACTTCATTTCCATCAAGCACTAAAAAACATTTCCCCCTAATGTCTATGATACAGTATTTACAAACCTGGATTACTCTAGAAATGTCATACTTACAATATTTTAAACCTACTGCCTATGACACACCTGTATACCAGAAAAGCAAGGCAGAGAATAAAGGTAAAGAAGCATGTTTCAACTTGTTCCTTACCCTTGAGTTAGCCATTTCAAACATGTCCCCTTCAACTTTTCTAGCATAGGCAACAAGATTCTGCATTCTCTTATCAAGCATTGCTTGGGGGTCTGGAGTTGGGAAGATGGCTTGTACACTGAAACAAACAGAAGACAAAATATTAAACTACCTAAAAACTGGTGTACTGGTATATGGACAACTACTGACAGCCATCCAATTTCCTCTCAAAACACTGCTTACACTTAGAGTGAACTGACATATTAGTGATTCACTTGAAATAATTACGAGAGCATAATATGTTTGTTGTACTGTTTTTGTGGCTCTTGGTAATGTTATCAGGACTGTTGTAATGGCCAAGGTCATGTTGATGTAATGGTAGATTGAAAGGGCAGATTACTGAAGCAAATTATTTACTGAAGTTTGACTTGAAATTTAAACACCTTAAAGATTTAGATTAAAATACAAAGCAAAATGGTGATTTGGTCACTGCTTGCACAGATAATAACCCTCAAGGGCAATAGTATAATAATAAAGTTATGTAAGATTCTCAACTAAGTAAGAAGTAAATCATTATCTTCAATTATTTCTAGAAAAAAGGGAAAAGATAAGGTAAACTCACAGCTTGTGTACAAGGTGGTTTCTCAGCTCATTCGATATACTTTGGTGCCATTCTTTGGTCCCCTTAACAGGCTTGGCAGTAACAGCACCAAAGCCACCAGGCAGCTGTGCAGGTTGATTCGGCAGATTGAGCCATGAATCAGGTAATGACTGTAAAGACTACAAAGATACATTCTTTAGTATATATATTTATACACACACACACCTAGGAAACACAATAATTCAGATATATCATAGTAAAACTCATAAATTACATGTACAAAACCATCAGGAATCCTTCCATCATTCATTGATAATTACCATTGTACTCACAACAGGATTTTGATTGATGCCAACATTTGAAGGCTTGCCAATAATTTGCTGTTGCTGCTGAAGAGTATTCAATGGTCCAGACCCAGCATTGGGCCCTCTGACCATCATACCCGGGGAGTTCATACTCTGGGGAGTGGAAGCACCCATCATCGTCCCCTCAGGTCCCTTATTAGGCACACCTGGTCGCACCATCTGCCCAGGCATACCCCCTGGTGCTCCAGGTACACCTGTGGGAGCACCTGGAACATTTCCAGGTGCTCCCTGCTGGGCATTGGCAGGCATTCCTGCAACACTAGGCACCTGTGGTCTCAAGTTTCTCATTAAAGAGTCAGTGGGTCCTGGTGGTCCAGACATTGCTGGTTGTAAAGTTTCTCCTTCATACACTCTTTTAACACCTCCAGGTCTTGGTCCAGCATTTTGTCCAGGTCCTGTTTGCATTTGACCTGTAACATTGGGTGGACCCGGAGGACCTGGAGGACCAGGAGGGCCAGAGAGCGGTCCTGGAACCCCTCCTGGGCTTGGGCCAGGTTGGGACACAGTTGGTGGAATCTGACCCGAAACCCCCCCAGCTCCTGGCTGCTTCTTGTCCGCTTGTTTCAAAGGTTCACACACTGGGCAGTCCTGTCGTGCACAATTTTTCCAATGGGATATTATCTGTCTGGATGATGCACAATGAGGAACTGGACATGACTTACCCGCCTGGCAAGTGGTCATATGAGTTAAAACATTCTTCATTGTCTTGCAGTGAGGTAGATTACACTGAGGAAAAAAATATGGATTAGTAAAATTATGTAAAATACAAATTATCATAAAATGTGCAGCACTAATACCTTAACATTCAACAAATGGCCCACAGCAAAACCAAATACAAATACCTATACCATAATATCTACATTTGTAAGAAACTAACTGTTCCTAAGCCTAGACAGCAAATGTCAATTAAAATATTCTGTAAACCAGTGAATGAGTCACCAATGGTATTCAATCAAATAGGTCTATCAACTGAAGATGAGTTGAGAGCTGAGGAATTTTGCAAATTAATGAGAACCCCTGCATATACCATCTTCAAAAGGTGTAACCATGAACAAAAGGAATTCAGAATATTTATAACTTTCTCAGGTTATTTACAGTATCTTCATTTGGAAAGAACTAAAAAGAAAATAAATTCAGAGACAAATGGTAAGACATAACAAAAAGACAGGTGGATAGACATAAAACAACATGGTTCATGAGTACCCTGTATACCCATTGAATTCCACTGGTCATGGAGTAAAAAAAATCAACCTTTGACCAACATGACTTTAACCCTCAATGAGTGGAACCTGATTCTGTCTCACAATACCTGTACATAACTGGTAATGGTACACATTATTCTAAGTAGTTCAACAAGCTATGGAACAGAGTAAAAAAATATATATCACTCATGAACTTTGACCTTAACCTTTGAGACATGGTTGTTAATTTGTAATGGGGAGAAAAAACCCATATGCTGCATTAAAAAGGTCTAGTCAAAGTTCTTACAGTCAATATGGAGTGATAATCACAGACTTTACTAATATACTCCTAAACCTAATTTCTTCCTTCTACATTTACATTTATAGTAGATTAATATTTGTTACAGATTTCAGTCTTTTCCTTCTATAGTATTATACAAGATAGTTAAAATAAGGAACAAGGAGTTTCATTCAATTATAATACAGTATATATTGTTCTAAAAGTATCTGACAAATTTTAGAAAAATATCCTGCTCCCATTTACATACAATATTTTCTAACAAACAGTTCAGCTAAACAGAGAGATAAATGGTAAAACTCACGGGTTAAGAGCAGTCCTAAAGTCTCCTGGTGGGAAACTTATGATAAGTAATACACAGCAATTTATTTATATCTACTAGTGTTCCCATTGTCATTATAAATGGAAGTTCCAATCTACTTATCATTTATATTCCTGTCAAACTTTTGGGTGGAATGGAAAAAGGTTCTGTACTAAAATCCGAATATAAGTGAAAACAGTTGGGGAGAAAGTTGCAATACAAGAGTCCAGTAGTACTGTACAAAGCAAAAGGAGATGGCTAAGACAACCAGAAAAATATTATACAAAACTAACTTATACATCCTATATAAGCAGTATGGAAATCTATAAAATCAATTTACAGTGCAACAAAGAACTATTGTATTAATGTTTGTGCCAAATGTACTCATAAATAAATTTTGTACTCTAATTTAACTGTGTACATACATTCCATGAGAAGCAGAGGACTGACTACAAAATTCTTTTTCTAGCAAAGTGCCTAGCCAAGAACTTCTTACAGTACTAGCCAGGAGGGTCTCCTTACAGTACTAGCCAGGAGGTTCTCCTTACAGTACTAGCCAGGAGGTTCTCCTTACAGTACTAGCCAGGAGGTTCTCATTACAGTACTAGCCAGGAGGTTCTCCTCACAGTATTAGACAGTTCTGAAAGTTTAACTATCACACTTCACTCCTTTGACAGCTGGGGGCAGGTCTTACAATTATCCATTTCTCTTTGTCACAACCACCACCCCTCGAAGAGCAAGACAAGTCCCTCTATATGAAGCTCATGCCCCTAAGTGTAACCTCCTATCTCATCTCCAGAATCTTCTGCCAAAAGGATATTCACCAGTTCCAAGATTGTCTTAAAATTACCAGAAATTCAATGACTGAAAAGTCTGGAGACCTTGTCCAGACTTGAAAGATCGATCTAGAAACTTAACCCCAGAGATAAAAGATGATGGAGGTTTGAAAGCATACTTTCCTGCTGTGAATATTACTGAACACTAGTCTTCACCACTAATCATTCAAAGGCTGACCAAAGCACAAGACTCTCCAAGGCTCAATAATATTAACATTAAAACTTTAATAGTGGAGCCTGAGAGTACCCAAATCTTGTTAACATCAAACAGTATCATCATCAACAACGAGTGAAGAAACCATTGGGTTAAGGACCCAGGAAAGACCCATACCTTTATCATTGACCAAACATGAACTGAACTTTCATCAGAGACCAGTTCAGATACTATATGTGAAATTTCCTCACCATCTATTGATGCCAGTTTCCCTGACCAATGTTTTATGGTCAAGTGTACCTACCTAGTCATTATCCTGAGCTAATAAACCAAAAAAGTGAAACACTTGGTCCATACTTGTTCTGTACTCGCAAAACTATCACCTCCTTTGCCTTATCATGCTAGGGCACTTTAGGTAGCTTAAGGCAATCATGGAACCAGGTCACAGAAAAGTCTTACTTGCATCTTGGCACAATCACTACACCCATCAAGATTAAATAAATTCAGCTGGTAACAACCGCAATGACTCAGACATTTATCTTGGGTATCAATCATGTGGAGCGCTAACTCATTGAATGGGGGTTATGAATATCTTACCTTGCTGACTCATCTGAAATAACCCCCCCAAAAAAATCCAGATAATTAATCCCCACTACTGTTTTCATTATATTTGAAAGCAAAGGAAAAGTTACAATGTACTGTATTCCTCATTCAATGAAAATTGATATATTGTCAGTTTCAATAACATAAGCAGATAAATTGTTGCCATGCAATGGGAATAATTTATTTCAATGAAAGATGTCCTTTCTGGCAAGCAATATCTGGGATTACCACTTTCGGAGCAAAATCAAGTGGAAGAGGATACTGCATAGGAGAGGATAACTTAGACGCTTGAAGTGAGGCCAATGATCCAAGTACTCCCATTAAATGACCCAGTCCAGTGAAAGCTGGCAATATAATTCACTTGTGGTTCCAGCATTTCCAAATCAAACATCAAGAAGCACAAAATAATTTATATAAAAAAGAATTTTATGAACAATTTTGTGCCATAAACCAACTTCCAAATGGGATTACAGTGCAGTATCTTGATATTCCAATCAAGACTATAAAGGCATATCCTACTAACTGCCTGTAGGTTATATCCCACATCCAGGGTAATATGAACAGAGAAAAAAAAACTACACGTATTGTAACATGAGGTAATGGCAGCTGTACTGGGAAATATTGGCCCTTAATACTAACTCACTAGATAACCTCAAACTGGATAGTTAAGCAATTACAAACACCCTTGAAACATGATAAAAACACATCTAAAATGTACCTCAGCTCTACTTACATCCAGCATCTACAGGAGAACCTTTGTTTCTAATCCTTCCACAGACGGCAGCGTTGTGACCATAACCTCCCAGTTCTCAAAAGAAGTGCAGTATGATAGCCAAGCCCCAAGAAATGACTAGCATAATAATGAGAGTTGCTCGACTAGAAACTAGCAGAACAAAAAAATGGACCAGAATATTACAAGTACAGACCCCCAAATCCAGGACCACTGGGACCAAGACCGAACTGGTATCGAGGATTTTCTAATTTCCTGGGTCCTAGGTCATCCCTCTGTTTCTGGGAGGCCTTACCTGTTGACTATGTCAAGTTTTGCTTCTACTCACACAACTCAGCTGAACTTGTTTTACTTCTTAAATAACAACATAAGAGAAAACATTACTGTAAGCATACTTAAGTGAGGGTGCATTCCCATGTTAGGCCTACATGCATCAGATTCCCATAGCTTCACAGAAGTAAAGTTCATAAACAATTATTGCCTGATTGAATAAAATAGCCCAGTACAATACCTTGACCATCTTTATTTATATTTATTGTATTAAAAAATATCATAATTGTTTCCATACAGCTTTTGAAATCAATACAGTATATGTTAAATTAGCCAATGACTCAAGACAACTTACGCCATAAGTTGATTGTTCTCACATGGCCCATGTGAGAACAATCAATAGTTGCCTTAAGTTATCTCAAATCTTCGGATTGATTTGACCAATATTTATTTCAAAAATTATGTAAAAACTACAGTAATATTTTAATAAAAAATATAAATAAATATACACTAACCCATCCAACGCTAATTCTTTCTGGGAACTGCTGCTACTAACTAGAAGCTTCTGGAATGTCAAAAAAATATTTAACTCACTACTTTTAAATAAACTGTATCTTATGCAATTTTTTTATTATTATTTATACAGTGATGTTTTACTTTTGTTATCAAAGAAGTAAAATAAACATTCAACTGCATTTGTGTTAGTGTGGCCAGGGGAGAAAATTTGACCAAACACAGGGAAATAATGTCCAGTTTTTGAGGGTCTGAACCTGTACTGTAATTAACACCTGATGCCAAAATATAAATAAAATCTATACATTAGTGAATGAAATAGGAGTTTCAAACTTACAAGGAAGAAAAATTAATATCAAATAATAATTGCTAATCTGATCAAATTTTTCTAACATCTGAGTCAAAAAAATAAAAATGTAAAGTACAGTAATTAATACACTAATGTTCTTTATGACCAAAAACACAGATAAATGAGGGTCAAGCATAAGTTTTCTGCAAGTACCATCATCAGTAACTAACACTAAGCATTGGGTGAAACAGAAAAAAAAGTCACAAAAACAAACATTTGCTATACTTAAAACACACACAGACATAGGACAGACAACCCACCACACATGCATTCCCTCCCTCACTGAACTCACTCTCTGCTTAAGCAATATAATTCTTTCAACACTTCAGAAGAATCACATTCAAAGTGAAAAAATCTACAAGTTAGTAAGCCATGACAAACACACACATAAGGAGCAGAATAAAACCCAGAGACCAGAGTCCCTACGTTATCTACTCACCTGCCTCACCTCTCCGTTTGCCTGACTCTCACGACGCTGGCACTTGTGGGCATGAAGGAGGAGAACTAGCTGCTGTTGTATTAATTTTCTTTTCTCAGGGTCAGCTGGATTTGGTCTTGGTTGACCAGGCACCATCTGCCCTGAGCCACCAGGGCCACCACCCATAGGTCCTGGTGGGCCAACAGGAGGGCCACCAGGGACTCCCTGAGCACCAGGACCTGTGGGACCTGGACCAGGTTGGGGGCCCCGAGGCATAGAGCCCATCATACCCATCATTTCTTGATTGGGATAACGTGGTGGCATCCCCATCCCTAAAGGTCTTTGGCCAGGTCCCAGTCCAGCATTGGCCTGACCCACATTACCATCCATTCCTTGGCCAACACCTGGTCCTCCAAAGTTGTAACTTCCCGATAAGTTGGGTTGCCCAATACCACCTACACCAGGATTCTGTGGGAAAAAAAAGAAAAAATATGAATATTTATTTCAGTAAAACTTTATGTAACTGCTACAGTTTTAAGTACTGTACAAGTATTTACAAGATTCAGTTGATCTTGGCTCCCTGCCTGATAACTGAAGACCAAAGAAGATAAACAGCTATTTTTGGTGGGACTAACCACTGAAGTGGATTTTTTCAATATTCTGAATTTTGGGAAATATTAGTCAAGTACGGTACAGTTTCAGAAAATACATCATACTTTTCCTATCTCTCCTTTTTTTTCACCAAAACATCATGTTACCTGCTGCAATCACCTGGTTGTCATACAGATGTATTCAAGCTCTATCAGTCCAATAATCTGACAATGCATGCTCCTGACAACTAACTAACCAGCAGTTTTATTCCCACCACAAACATTTCCCTCTTGTGACCCCAGTCTAGTTACATGCCTGTGAATTCTTCAGTTAGCTAATTACCATATCCATGTGATAATTTGGGAACCACTATAATGTACAATAAAATGTTTACCATTGTGCACAAATATACGAGAATCCAGTCTAGGTTCCAGAACCTGGTCGTTGTTTTAAAAAATTTCCAAGGTCTAGCTAAATGTTTAATATTTATCTAATGTGATTTTTTTAAGTGTCACAAGTGTCAGACTGAGAGCAATACAGCCAACCCACTTAACTTCGCTTCAACTGACACTGCCATCATTTGCTGGGTCATAATCATGTGAGGTCAAGCAGGTCATAAACACTTTTGGCTTGAAATCATCAAGTGTCACCATCTCATCTTATTAGGACCTTTGTTAATCAAATCCTACCATGGCCTTCACTTTTGGGTGCATTCTACTGCATGCATGTGTGCTGTTTTATGCATAGCAAAAGGTATTAATCAATGCCAAAACTCAACTGCTTCTGGAATTTGTGAATATCCATTCAGCTGGGCTGAACTACTGTAATACTAAATCAAATGTTACCAATACCCTTACTTCAAAATTTTGCTAATACACAATGTAAATATAGTTTGATATAGTGCACAATTGTTATTCTTGGTATCTAAAATGTACAGATATACGGAACTTTTAGGTTTAGTCTCATTGCAAAATTTCATCACAAAAATATTATTTGAGCAAAATTTTTTACTCTTTCAACTTGAGTAATTTTGTACTGTTATTTACACAGTTTTCAAGTAGGATGCTATTTACTTTTACAAGCACACATTTTTCAACAGTACCAGCATTCTTTGTCAAGTTTTCCAATACCCTTGCCAGTACAATACTGCCAAATACCTTAGTGCAAGTATGCCATCTCTCTATAAAATAATATGAAAAAATACTGTACCTATCACACTCACCTGGTATCTAGCTAGGTTATATCCACATACCAAGTTTCAGTGAATTCTGTTGTTAGTTGTCAAAGTTATCACTTCCATTGACATATGTGCACAAGCACTGAGAAGCAAATAGTGCCCATTACTTTCCATAATGAGGAGGGAAAATAATATCTAAAAAACTTGTCTGAAATATTTAGTTATATCCACACATCAAATTTATCAGAGCAAATACAGTACACTAGAGTCCCAGTTATCTGGAGTCCAGGTAACTGGCAGATTCAACTAACTGGCACCAAAATGAAATACCTGGTATTGTACGGTTATAATAATAAAAAATAAAATCCTCCAAAATCAGCTAGAATCGTAAGTTTCAATACCACGCACAAAGGGGATGAGCTGCCATATTTATTGCCATTACTGACAATCAAATTAATACATAGCATATCATAAAATACTATACTGTACAGTAGTACATATTTTATATACAAAATATAACTCTTACCACACTCAAACAATTCTCTGGGAGACAAGACACAGTTCAGCCAGCCTGTTAACCAGCTGACTCAAAGATGTGACTGCTGCGCTGTGTGCATGATGACCTTACAACGGGAGGAATTGACCGATTGTGGTAATTACATCCATGGCAACTCATCAGCTTAGGCCATATGTTGCCGAATTAAAATAAAGGCTTAAAAAATAAAAATAAATAATGCGAGGTAAAAAACATAATAAATAACAAAAACTTTTGCAAAAATCATTTAAATATTAATATATAAAATTCAAAGCTTGTTGTGTAGAAGACCAGCTTCCTTCACAAAGGTTTGATGTCCCCTTCCATGCTACCCCCTACCCCAGCACCAAAGAGAGAGAGTAACACCCATCTCCACAATGAATATCTCTGAGACTGGGGCACTGCACCAGGTGTCAGACAATCAATGGGACCAGGCAGTCATCACAATGGGGAAGGGGAACTCTCTCCATTAAAAAACCATGAGTCAGCCGTGTGGCCAGAGTGGAGAGAGGCCAAAGCAGTCTCCTGGCAGCACAAGTCACTGATATCCCCAGGCACCCAATGCAGGATGGGTGTCGAAGAGCTTGTTTGTTCCGACAGCATCCCACCTGCATTGCCAACTCGACCGGATGGCAGCTCTTATTACTGGCCTCATATAAGATACAGGTAGAAGGGAATGATGTGCAGCAGGGTGAGAAGCAGCTGCTTTTGCCACAGCATCAACATGCTCATTCCCCTTCTCCCTCACAGAGCCGAGCACAGTCCCACAGTTATAGCCCACCATCTCCACATACATTCACTTGCCATTCAATCACACCCATTCTCTTCATTTTTATTATTTTATAGTTTTATATATTTTATTTTATTTCTAAGCCACATCATTCATATACTGTAAAGTGGAATAAGCGTAAAGCAGTACCGGGTACGATTTTCTGAGACACAAATTTGCGGGGTCAGGTTGTAGTACTGTGCATTGTAGGATTTATTGGGGAATCCTAAGAGTGAGGTTCAACTAAACTAAAGCGAAAATATCTTTACCTGACACCTCTCGATCCCAGTAAGTGCCGGATAACTGGGGTTCTACTGTATATAACTATTTGTTCAAGTCATCACAATCAAAATGTTGCTGTAAGAAAAAATAAGGTGATCAAAGTGGCCATAACCCTTAAATAAGAAGGAAAATACTGACCATTAAACCCAAAGGCATTCTTGTTGGGTTTTAACCACAAACTAATTACGAACTATTAAAATTTTAATTAACAGTCCTATATACAAACACACACATGGAAACAAAAGGAGCCATAGTAATCAAATGCAGGAGAAAACACAGACTATTACCAGTACTGTACAGTATATTTATCAGAGAACTTTTTGGGTTATATGTATAAAAAAGTTTCAAGGAAATTTGTTGCTATTCATCAAGTTATTGCATATAAAAACCAACACACCCAGAGAAAAATAAAAACAGCTGCACCTCCCTAAAAAAGGGAAGGAAGGGGAGGGAAACAGTAGTTAATGTACTGAACTCATAAAAATCTCATTGGGTTATTCTGTATCTACACATAATGTATACCAAGTTTCATAAAAATACTGTACACTGCTATTTCTCCTGAGTTCTATTCACAAAGCCAATGTGCTGATTTTTTTTCAGTCAGATGTGTGCCGGCATAGGGTAACAAATAGCCTTTATAAAAATGAGGAGGGGGAAACCCACATGATGTATGTAGTGTAGCCCAGGTTAACCTGACTAGTAAAAAACTTGATTATAAAACGAATATACGATCCAGTAATGTGATGGTCTCATCAGCCACATTCTTAAGTTTTGGAACCGTCAAAACACAGGAGGGGGAGTGGTTAGGCCTCCCGACCCAAATAACCTCCAAGAGTAGCTAACACTTGTACTATAGAAAAACAAGAGGTACTAGACTTCAAAACAACCTTTGAGCATGAGAAAATTCTACCTCTCTGGGAGCATAATTAGAAACCTTTCTTGTTAAGGGGAGAGTATTATATTACTGTTTAGGGCCAACAAAGGTTATTGGCAGAGGCATTATTGAACAAACTATATACAATACAGCAAAGCCTTGAATAACGACGGTAATGTGTCCTCCAATATTACAGTGTAAGGTGAATCATCATATCGTGAATCATTATTTACCATTAAAATAAAGCAATAATAATGAGATGCGTTTCAATGTCTGACCTTTTCATATCCTTTGTGTGGCTTTTTACTTTCTTCTCCCCCAAAACAATAATATTAATGAAAAATGCAAACTATATTTTTCAAATGTTTATGAATGCGCCTTATACAATATAGTATACAGTAAATAAATAATAATATGGTCACACAAGAGATGGTGTAACAGCACCATTTTTACAGTATAACAAATATTCATCCAAATGTTTAATACTTATGTATAATACCAAATTATTCAACAATGATTCAGTAGTTATTCACCAAGTTATTTAACAATGACTCAGTAGTTATTTAACAATGACTCAGTAGTTGTTAATGTCATACATGCTGAGGTCTATAACGTCATCAGAGGTTGAGCCAGGTCAAGCTGATTTAGCAAATACCTCGCCCGCTCCTCCTTGACTCTCACGCTCTGAGCGAGAGGAGGGAGCAGGCAGACCCATATCACTTGTTACCCAGTGAACACCTCACTTACGTGTTCTCATATATACATTAAGTGCACTAAGACACTTCCCCTAGTAAAGAAGGCATAATATACTCTCAACCGAACTAAGTACCTGTGAAACTATATTTTTCTACAATAGAGAAAAATCAGCAAAGTGTTTACTTCAGCCAAGCCACTTACTATTTCCAGAACAATTATATATATCTGTGTGCGATATATATAAATAAAGGACAATGGTTCTTCATCCTGGTTGTAGCTGTAGTAAAATGAATGTAACAAAATGAATACTGTATATATGTTTTCAGCATGTAATGTCATTTAATCTTAATAAATGGAACAATAGAAGTAGCTAACCACTAATGGCAAAGGAAAAAAGCGAGATGGATTGGGAACGCCAACAAATACTCTAAGTGCGCATGCAAGGAAACAGTGTAGATTATTAAAATACAAAAGAGGAGATGAGACAGCATTGTTGTTATCAGTTTACACCCATAATGTCAGTTATCCACCTGAAACTGAAGAA